AACCCCAATGACCTTTTGAGTCACTCTCCAACCCAGGCCCAGACATCCTGAGCTGGAAACAGTGCCAGGCCCAATCTCAAATCGTAGCAGGCAGACCTCCCCTCTTAGGGACAGCTCCAGCCCTCATATATGTGGAAGGAAATTCCAGATCCTACTGCATTGCCTATAATACGCTCAATATGCTACAAATTTAAAACCAGCGAAGGAAAAAAATCAAGTAAACAACAAAAAACTAATATAAAACAGAGTTTCTTTGGAAGCAAGGTAAAATGGAAGAGGAGGCAATAAGGGTCTGAAGTTGAGCTCTTTGTGCCTTATTTTGGTTTCCAATAAGATGGACATGGTACATTTTGCTCAATTTTCCACCCCTAATCACGTTGAGAACCTTGGATGGGTTTGGGAGCTGGAAGTCATTTAATTGGGTATTGTTCCTTTCTCAACCTGACTTGGAAACAGCACCTGCCCATCCTGCTGCTGTCCTCTGGCCCCAGCTCTATCCCTTACCTGGACATTAACTAGGGTCATATCCAGCCCACCCCCCTGGAAGTCTTAGTGAGCAATGGGGCCACCAGAGATGGTGAAGACTGGGAGTGGAGGCATCACGTCCAGAGACCCTTTGGGGAGCCAGAGATTTTCCGTTCGGAAAGAGGAAGGATGGGATAGACTGACAAAAGGATAGTGACATAAACACACAGAATCAAGTGGTGTATAGAAGAGAAGGCGTTGAAATAAAGGGGTGAGGAATTCAGCCCAGACAAGTTCCAGCTGTAATTGTAGAGCCTACATAGCAAGGAAAACTGTCGGCAGGGGGGGAGGCTTGGGGCCATATTATCAACCCAGAGAGAGGAATCCAGGGCAGTAGGATTTCTGAAGCTGGCAACTGGTCCCTCTGGCAAATTTCTGTGGGTTTCCCTTCCTGCCAAGTGTCCACTATCTGAATAGATCAGATTTCACTTGCTTAGGGCCTTGAGCTTCTGGAACCCTCTTCTCTGCTCCTGGTCCTCCAGCAGTGGGATGAGGCCTCTGGCATGTCCCTTGGTCCCTTCCTCCCCAAGCCCCAATCTCTCTGACTGGCTCCACCACATCATAGTCTGTCCTGCCTAGCCAGCTTTATTACTTAGCTATCATCAATCTTACCCCTAACAGGCTATTTGTTTATACACTGGTGGGAAAAGCTAATGGCTTCATGAGAGAGTAGACCGGAGTTAAAAATGAAGGCTCTATAATTCCACGCCGTATCCCATGGTGGGGGTTTTAGAGTATGGACCCAAAGGCTCTTCTCAATAATTTAAGAGGCGGGGAAGGGGAAAGAGAGAACCTGTTCTACCAACTATTCTTTCTTGGATGCCTCTGGCAGCCTCAGAGGACCTGGTGTGGGTACCTAAGGCCTGGTGAGTAAAGTTGCCTCTTGGCCTTCCAGGGCTGCCTGGCCAGGTGGCCTGAACCAGCAGAGTTTGGGGCCTCAGGGTTTTATACCACTTTGAACAAAACATATGGCCCTTTCCCCTAAAGACAGAGAATCCCAGTAACCAGGGTGGGAGGGGAAAAAAAGGTGCCTTGTTCTTCACCTTTCAAAGTTAAGGAAGCCCAAAAGGGCTGCAAGACACTCTAGTGGCAGAAAGCAGCTAGAGCTCACGGAGGACCAGCACAATGGAGCCGGATAACTCTGCAAGCATCTATTATTAATGACACAAACTGTGTGGAATGATAAATTGTAAAATGCATGGTTGTTTGCATGCAGCCTGTTGAAAAGGGCCTGCTAACTACACTATCTTGGAAAACAGCACGTGTTCCTACCACATGTAGGATGCCAAATGCAAGATTTTACATGGCACATACCACGCTGGCATTTGCCTATGAGTTGCTAAGAAAATAAATGTGCTCTGCTTTTCCTTTTGAGACAAAATACTAGCCAAAGGATTTCTACAGAGACAATTTACAAAATGAACGGACTCATTTTATCACCTGGGTCCTGCAAGTCACCAAAAGGCTAATTTCCAAATGCGCTGGCTATCTGTTAACTATCAAGCAGTTTTTCTTACAAGACTTTACAGAAAAACCAATCATCCAAGCCACTAAGGAATAAGTAATTTTAGGTCAAAAAAAAAAAAAAGGATGGAAGAAATCGTTTCTTTCTCTTAAACAAGATATGAGGGTCTGAAAGCAAGTGTATAGATAATAGAAAACATCACATACGCATTTTTTAAAAAATCACGAGTAGTTCCTTCAACTCGCACATGACTCAGAACTACTATGGAGGCAACTCTTGCATTAATAACAATGTGTGTATAATACAAACACCTTCCTAAACATACACATCTTCCATTCTTAATTTTTCAAACATCCAAACAGAAGAGGAAGCTCTCCTCCAGACAGACAGAAACTTCCGAGGAGCTGCGCTGCTGTGAGGGACTCATCGGGAGCCACAAGCTCACACTAGAAACCTGCTCCTCCAGCTGCCTGGCCCCGAAAAGGAAGAGCAAGGGGCACCCACAGAACACTACTCCTAGGAGCTAGACCCTCTTCCCTCGCTGCACCCCGTACAGCTGCAAGGGCCACAAAGCTCAGGGACAGCCAGGTTTTCCTTTGGTCGCCTGGGCCTGCCCGGACCGGGCTAGCTGCGGCCTAGACGTCTTCAGGGCCGCAAGGCCTAGGCGGTGTAGATGCCGAGGGTCGCGGGCTCTTAGGCCCGAACTTACCGAACCCCCCGCACACCCTCAGACGTCGGTAGCTCAAGTAATTCGTGTCCCTGTCACACTCTGCACTAGGTCACAGCGTGCGGACAAGGCCGCCTGGGGCAGATCGCTGCTGCGGCGGGGCAGTAGCTGGTCAACGCAACTGGGCTCCGTGCGCCTGCCTGCCAAGGCTGCGGGACACGCTGTCACCCGTGAGCAATGAAGTGCCTGTGACCTTTCCACCCGCTCTGGGCTCCTAAACACACGTGTGTCTCCAAAACAAAGGCGGCGAGCGAGGAGGAAACAGGAGCGGCGAGGCCACGCGCGCCAGCTACAGCCGCGGGGCGAGGAAGGAGCGGGCGCTGCCGGTGCCCGGTGCCGAGGCCCTCGGGGCACTGTCCCGCCCCCGCGACCCCGGTCCCCCGCGCCCCGCGCTGCAGCCCCCGACCTTCTCTCGGCGCAGTCTTCTGGGCACCCTGACCCCACTGTGATTGACCCATCCAACGCCAGCGGGGGCAGGGGGGTCCCCCTTGACGCCATTTGCCCCGCAGACTACTTATTTCGGGAAGAGGCCGCCAAGACGCGAGCGGGAACCCGAGGGCGGCGGCGGGGCGGGGGCGCGCGGGGGAGGAGGAAGCCGCTGCGAACGCAAACAGAAGCCGGCCGCCGCAGCGGGTAATTACAGCTCATTAGCTCCGGAGCCTTCCCGGCCCCGAGCGGCGTCCTGGAGGCCGGCGTCGGGGCTGGACGCCACTCCGAAATGCACGGCCGCCCGCCCGGAGGGGCCCACAGGGAAAGCCGGAGGCCGATCGCGGGTCTCCACTCACCACCCCCAGTCCAAACGGATGAAACGGACATCCTGAGAAGCGTCCTGCCTTCTCCGGTCCGGCCTTGGGTCGCTCAACCAAGGGGACAGGACCATCGGTCACCTGCTCAGGTCTCCCGCAGGCCTAGACAACCCAGCTCAGGGTGTATAATTCCCAGCTCCACGCTGGACTCCCCAAAGTAGAGTTGGGCTCCAACTCCTAGAGATTTGTAAACAGACTCTACCTTCTTCTCTTCTTACCCCATCCCCTGAAAGGGGTAACCTGAAGAGGAGGGGGGCAGCCCAGGCACTCAAGGCTAGGACAGCTCAGAAAACACTTAAAGCAGCCGTGAGGCCAGCCCCAGCCAGCCTGCGGAGGAGACGCCCTGCCAGCGCCACAGCGAGCTTCCCTGGCTATTAGGTTACCGCTCTGAGCGGCGGGAACCGAGAGAATCAGAGGCCACGTAAGGCAGTTTTTGACTGAAATTAGAGTGTATTTATTTGCAGCAATCCTTTAACAATGATCAAATTTTGACAACAAGCAACAGCAATTACTGCTTAAGTGTTGCCTCTAGATAGGAGCGGCAGATAGGAACCTGCTTTATCTTGAAAACAAACTGAAGGCCTGAATGTCTGTAATCAAACCGCCATCTCCCCAAGTCTGATTGACAGGGCAGATCACCCTAAGATAATGAATTTATTACATTTCCTGGGTTATTTACAAAAGGAGGGGAAGGGCCATTCCGGATTGCCCCCTAGGTTTAACTGTAAATTAACAAGAAAAATTGGTTTGAAAAGAAACCACCCTAGACTAATGTTCTTTCTGCCTTCTTACCCTTCCTTCTGGTTATTGCTGTAAATGTTCAAAAATAATTGTTCTAAAAACATATCTTCTAAAAGTTTCCCCAGGATTAAATATCCATTTCCAACCCACAGCATATTTATATTAAATCCTTCTGTGTGATACATGAAGAATTGTAACTGTGGGTGAGTTATATACATACATTTTAAAACTAGTTTATTTTTCCTCTTACAAAGGAATGAAATTAATAGAAAAAAATCTACTCAGCATCTGGCTCACAGGTATGTATAATACTCATTGCAATCTATGTGGGACATGAAAGCCAATACTTATCTGTGAGTATCTTGAGGCATCCCTGCGCACAGGTACCACTGTGCTAACAATGCTGCTGATTCATGGGCTTAAAAATTGCCAAATCATGTTTTGTAGTTACTGAGGAAAAGTATTTGTTCATATGCCAACTCAGATCTGTTTAGGAAATTATCTGTTTAATAGCCACAAAGCAAGCTGACTATACAGTACACTTTGCAGAAAATGCTGTAGGGGGGGAAAAACCCTTCTAAACAATAAAAAAAATGCTTTTAGCGAAATTTGACATGAACTAGAGGAAGTTTTCTCCACATTTCAGAGATCTGGCAGAGAATAGAGAACTCTACAATTTCTGCTCTGAAATCCTTTCTTTATATTAAAGCTGTATGAAAGTATCCAGACATATAGGTCTTATTCAAACTGAATGGCAATTTATTTATAAACAAACAATGGATATGATCAACAAAAAGAAAAGGATGAAAGAATGAGATTAATACAGTTTCCCTTTTTATAACGAGAGAAAAGGCACATTTTAAAGTTTCAGGCAATTTAACTTTAAAAGCTTTTGGAACACTTTCTTGGTGTTTGGTCCGTAACATCCAACTACAAATTAAAAATAAATTACTATATTGCAATTTACATTTAAAAACAAGTCCATGAATAAAAAGAAAGCGATTTTCATAAACAGGGACTTTCCCCTTCTTTCGACATAGGATAAAATATTATCTTACAGGTGAGAGGCGAGGCAGAGGGACAAGACGAAGGAGCAGGGAAGTCTCTGACCGCAAGAGGAAACTTACGTGGTATCTGCAGTAAACTGACCTTTAATAAACCATGGTTTTGCTGTCTGTACAAAATAGTTTACCGTTTTGCTTACTTAGATAAGGCAAAGTGAATGAGGCTCTGCGTTAATCTTTTAGGAAAATAGGTTTTCTTTGAGCTGATGCTGGTGAGTTGAATTTCGGGAGAGATTCTGTTCGCTGGTGTGATGAATTTTCTCAAGTTTTAAAATTTGTATGTTTTTAGTTTCGATTTTGCATTGCTGGGTTCTTTTACTGTTCCTGCTCTGGGGTTCCATTCCGTTCGGCTCTGAGAGTTCCGGGGATGGGGGTCAGAATTTGCTACAGTCATAGACGAAAGCCCCCGACGTGCGGTACAGAGACTGGCTGGCAGGAAAAGCCATCTGACAGCTACTATTCCCATTCACCGGAGAGTTGTTCAAGCCTATCCGCTGCGACTCGAACATCTCCCGCACCGAGTGGAAGTTCTGCTGCTGCCCAGGATAGCCCGCGGCCGCCGCGGCCGCCGCTGCGCTCGCCAAATGGCCCAGGTCTCCACCTGCCTGGTTCAGGTACCACGAGGTGAGCCGGCCTTGGTGGGCCGCTGGATGGTGGCTGGCCTCCTGGCCGCCCCCTCCGTGACTCAGGGACGAAGTGCTGCTGCTGGTGACTGGGGGCAGCGAGTAGTCAGGCAGGGGGTCATCTACGGCCGCGCTGCCCGCGCCTCCGGGCGGGCCCTGCAAGTGGCCGCCGCGCTCGCCCGCCGCGTACAGGCTCATGGCCTGCAGGTTGCAGTGGTAGGTGCCTGCGCCCCCCGTGCCCCCCGCGCTGCCCCCGCCGCCGCCACCGCCGCCTCCCGAGCTGCCCGCACTGGAGCTCTGGCTGCAGGGGGAGCTGTAGAGGGAGCTCTGGCCGGGCGAGTAGGCACCCAGCGCCAGCGAGGGCGCGATGCCGGCGCGCGAGGACGCGGCCGCCGCCGAGGCCAGGAGGCCTGAGCCTAGCTCCGCGGCCGAGCCCTGGGGCGACCCCCGCAGCGACGTCATGATGTTGTCCACGCTGAAGCCCTGGCTGTGATGCGGCGGCGGCGCGGGCTGTGGAGGCGGCGCGGGTTCCGCAGTGTCCAGGCTGAGCGGCCGCGCCGACGGCAGGCTGCCCGGGGGGCTGCTCCCGCTCGACAGGCTGCTGCTGCTGCTGTCGGGGCTTTCGATTTTGGGCACCGTGGCGGCGCTGCCGCTGCCTAGGGCGGCAGCCGGGGACAGGGGCTGGGGCGGCGAGGGACACGTACCGTTCTCAGTCTTGATGTCCTGGATGCGCACGGGCGGCGGCTGCGGCCCGGGAGCGGAGCCCTCGGCCTGCTCCGGGGGCGCGGGCGCGGGCTGGCGGCCGGCCTGCGGCGGCGGCGGTTCCTGGAGGTGCAGCCGGCCCTTCTCCTCCTTGTCCTTCACCGCGTCCTTCTTCTTGAAGCGCCGCCGCCGCCGCAGGAAGCTGCCGTTCTCGAACATGTTGTAGGAGTCCGGGTCCAGCGTCCAGTAGCTGCCTTTGCCTGGCTTCTTGTCGTCGCGGGGCACCTTGACGAAGCACTCGTTGAGCGAGAGGTTGTGGCGGATGCTGTTCTGCCAGCCCTGTTTATTGTCCCGGTAGAAGGGGAAGCGGTCCATGATAAACTGGTAGATGCCATTCAGGGTGATCTTCTTGTCCGGGGCATTCTGGATGGCCATGGTGATAAGAGCGATGTAGCTGTAGGGCGGCTTCACCATGTCCTTGGGCTGCGGCTGCGGCGTGTAAGGCCCGTAGGCACGCGCCATGCTGCCCGGGTACTGTTCAGCGTGCGCGGGGTGCGAGTACACGCTCATAGGGGCCGGCATGGCGGTGTAGCCGCCCCCGGCCGCCGCCGCCGCCGCGCGGTAGTAGCTCTGCTCGCCGCCGAGGTAGGGCACCACTCCCAGGGAGTTGGGGCTGGACACGGAGTAGCGCGCCTGCATGGCCCCGGCTCGCCGCCGCCCGGCGCAGCCCGCTTGCCCCCCACCCTCGCTCGGGCCGGGCCGCGTCGCACCGGCCGCCGAGTCCGAGTCCGAGTCCGGGCCGCGCCGAGCTGCTGCGGGCCCCGCCGGGCTGCGTCTGTCCCGGCCGCGACCGCCTCCTTGCGCCCGGGGCCGCTCGGCCTCTCCCTGCGCTCGCCTGGCGCCTCGCACCCCCCTCGGTTCCCGCGCGGGCAGCTAGGGAGGGTAGCTGCACAGGGAGGGGGCCGGACGAGAAGCCGCTAGCCCGCCTCGGAGAAACGCGCAGAGCAACTTCCAGGCGCAGTCAGGGCAAAAAAAAGAGACAAAAGTTAAAAAAAAAAAAAATCCAAAAAAACAAGAAGGCGCCCGGCTCGCCACACTGCTTGCGCCTTCCAGGAGACACTGCTCGGGGCTGCTGGCGAAGGCGGCCAAATAACCAGGGGCGGGGGCAGCGCGCCGGCCGCCTTCCCGGGCCCCCGCGTCACCTTTTCTCAGTCTCCTGCGCCGGCCGCTTAAGGAAGCATTGGGAAAACTTCTGAACTTTTGAGCATCCGTCACCCAGGCGAGGACTTTTTTACGCAGTTACATTTTTTTCCGGGCAGCGGAGCCCCGCCCCGCCACGGAGGCGGCAGCCAATGGGAGGCGAGAGCCGCCTCTGAATGAGCCAGAGGCCGAGCCCTGCCGGCCCGCTCCTGGCGGCTGGAGGACCGCGGGGCTGACCACACGCGCGCCGGCTGCCCGGGCCCGGCGCCCGCGCCCCTGCCCGCAGCTCGCGATCGGTTCTCCCACCGCACCCACCCACTCACTGCCCAACACTGCCCCTCACTCCCTGCCATTCTTGGGGACTCCCATTGTTCCCGCGGACTTTCCGGGTCCTTGCGGGCCCCAGGACCCTTCTTGCGTCCACCGTTCCCAGGCCTCCACGGAGCCCTCGATTCTCCCCTACACAGGATCTGCCTCAATCCTTAGCATGTCGGGCTGTCTCTAGCGTCCGGGGTTTCTCCGGCCTTTCCAGCCCTCCGCCTATCCCCTGGCCTCTCCTTTCCGAACATCCTTCCCCCTGCTATATCATCCATCACACCCCCATCCCATCCCATCCGTTCTCTGCCGGCAGGTTCTCCAGTCCGGTTCTAGGTTACGAAGGTTCAGTCACAGCCGCGGGGTTTCCAGTGAGGACGAAGATGGTATTTCGGTGCCTCGCCACACACCCTAGTCTCAGTAAGAGGAAGAGATAGAAACCTCCTGAAACTTCAGACGTTTGTTAAGCTGATAGACTGTGTAGGCCACATTGAGGAGCCCGGAGTTCTTGGACGTTCCAGGGCTTAAAGGAGACGAGAGTTTGGGCTACCACGACTTCAGAAAGTTTCCTCCGCAAACCACACGCTGCCGCTCTGTCCTGCCCAGCACATTTTCGTTCAAAGGACCATTTAAGTTCAAAGGGCTTGGTGACATTAGTAGGCGCGTGATGATGAAAAGAGCCAGATAAATATGTCCCAGAGCTTAAGGCTTCTCCCAGCCACTCTCCATCTCTACCCATCCCGGGGCAGCTGTCTCGTAGAGATAGTCTATGTTGGGGGAAGTGCAGTATTGCACCTACAAGACGGCTCAAGATTCTGAACAGATAAGCCCAGGGAGATTCTTGATATCTGTAATTATACTTAAGGTCTGCAGCCTCTGGGCAACTCGAAACGGGATGGGGAGACTTGAGAGGGGAAACGGAAGACCTTAGAGGACCGGCCTCCCTCTGACTGCAAAGCTACCCTGCATTTCAGCAACTGTTCCAGAAAAAACTCTGGCACGGAGTGCACACCTGGTCGTTTACTAGAAGCAGGGGGATGCCGGGTTTGAGAGCCTGTGAAGAAATGTCTGTGACTCACTTTACACCTTGGTTCCTCTGATATCTAGTAATCTTTAACTCAAGGACTTAATAGGAGTCCCTTTTGGCTTGCCAGCTTGAATCCTCCTTCCCTCACTTCTACACACACACACACACACACACACACACACACACACACACACACCACCTTGGTAGACAAAAAGATGATTTATATAGTAGGAACAGCTCGGTGTTGCTTAAACATATATACCTACATGTATATGTAATTTCAAGGGTGTTGCTTAAACACATATACCTACATGTATATGTAATTTCAAAACGGGCATTTATATGAAGGGAAGAGAAGACCTATGTTTCTAGAATTCACACACACACACACACACACACACACACACACACACACACACACACACACGGGAGGCAGTTGCATCCTAGCCTCCAGCACATTTGGGCTCACTTGAGACCCTGTTCCCAGAAGTTTGCAAGACCAAGACACTGTTGGATTGGGAGAAGTACCAGATTTCTCAGCGCAGGGGTCAGTAGTTGATTCCTACAGACACTTGGATATGGAGAGAGTATGGTCAAAGTCCCCAGCCTTAAAAAATAAAGTCACCGACGTCCAGCTGTGGCTTTAAGTTCTGGATCCGGCTGTAGCTGAAATACAATTAGAAAGTGATCATCCTGGACACCTTGGCATTTGGTTTTTAAACTGTGTGTGTGCAACCAGCTGTGCGGGGCCATGAACGCAGATTTTAGCAACTTGTTTGTTTTCCGAATGTGGGGTTTCCACATTCCAGGGGGCGGGGTTCTGTAATAGACAATGTGCTGGACTACCCTCCCCCCAGTCCCTGGTTGCTCCCCCATCCCCAGCACAGAGAAGTGCAAACTATTTGTTCTGTAAACAACAAATCGAACACTCCCCAACCCCCAACCCTCCCCCCCCCCCCCCCCCGCTTTGGGTATAAAAATTGCCATTGTGAAATTCGTATTTGGCATGCGGGGCGGCGGGGGGTGGGGGTGGGGGTGTTCGGTTTTACAAAGATCAACTTTCCATGGTTTGGCTCTGGATAATCGCCAGGAAAAGATATTTGCGTTTGGTTTTTATGTGCTTACTCGGAAGCAAACCTCCAGTGAACGGTTTGATTGTATTTCAAGCACTCACTATTTTATTATTGTTGTTGCTGGCTGTTGTTTGAACTCGAAGATGCAGTCTTGAGGGGTGGGGTACAAACCAAAGTTTTCATTTTCGAGTTGGAGTTTGGGTACCTCTTTTCTGTTGTCGCACGGGTAGTCAGTCACTCTGCTGCCTCCCCTACAACCCGTGACTTGATTGGAAGAAATACCGCAGGACCCCTTGGGCATCTTTTTTGACACCTTGGGTACTGGCAGCTTGAAAGCCCCCCCCCGCAGGCGACAGCGGTAATGAGTGTTTGGTGGGATGGTGGCTGGGAGCAGCCGACCCTCATTCCCCTCTCTGACCCGCCAGGAGAGGTTACAATTCCCTGGGCCCACCGAAGGGATCTTAGCTTTGGGAAGGAGGCATGACGTCACGGTAATGGTTAAAAAACAAGGCCTCTGTGGGCCCCTCCTGCACAAAAACACCGGGAAGCGGGATGTGGCGAGAGCTCCTGGAATGCCCGGATTGGGGACGTGGTGACACCACAGGAATGGGGAGTGGGGCCAAGGGCCAGCGGCACCAAGGCGGGTCACCAGAACCTGGAAAAGCTATTTTCCGTCTTCTAGTTAAGGGAGTGGGGATTGGACTGGGGGCCCAGTATAGAAACTCACTCCTGCAGGGTGTGAAGCTGTCCCGCTTGGGTTCCCTGGGAGGGACCCTGCAGGCCCCACTCAGTCCAGGCCGACCTATATGATTCCTTCGCCCGTTTTTTGGGAGTTTCCTTCTCTTGGCTTTGGAGTTTAGCCCTGGAAACCCAGGAGTGGGTATTGAGGGTCAAGACGCCTGTGTGCTGGTCCCAGTGGCCCTGCCTAGTCCGGAGTTGAGAGAGGGGGCAAATCTGCCGAGCTTCCTAGGGGGCTGGGGTCAGTAGAGACTGCATCCCCCCTGGAAGATGAAATGGGACATGGACAATTGTCCCAGGAGTGCGTATGGAAAACTTCCCACGAAGCTATCACGACAGACAAGTAGGGCAAAGTACGTTTGGAGGTGTCTTTCAACTATTTAGAGAATTTCCTTAGTTCTCCATTTGGCCTTTTTCCTTACCCGGAGCCCGCGGGAGGGGAGGATGTCCTGGGGTCAAAGCCCGTTATTCGTTATCAAACTGTCAGGCGGCACGTAGAGTTTGTCATTAGTGTGACTTTTCACCAGAGGGAGGAGGCAGGGGGTGGGGGCAACACCTGGGTGGCTGCGACTTCGGCCGATGGACTTCCTCCCTAGGAGGCTTGACAGCGGAACGTTCGTTCTTAACGAGGTCCCTCTAATTCAACCCTTTCTTTGAATAATTCCTACAAAAAAAAAAAAAAAAAAAAAACGAAAACAGCGTTTATCTTTCGATTACTTCAAACACAAAATGCTTACATCGCTTATCTGTATAGATGAATTAATCGTATAGCTGTCCATTTAGACGTGGCCCTACATGGGAACTTTGCATGAGATAATTTAATGTCATCTTCCAAATCCTCAAGGTTAGTCTTCTTGGCCTTTCTAATTGCTTACAGGGAGAGAGAGAAAGAGAGTCAACACCTGTTCTTTAACCCCTGGGGTGGACCCGTTTGTCACCCCTCTGCGGGAAAGCGACACTCTTTCAGAGCGGTTCCTCGGTTCAGAAGTGAGTTGAACCATAAAGGGGCCACAAAGCATGGGAAAAATGAATCTTTAACTTTGGAGCCTGGTCACAAAAGACTCGGACCTTTCTTTGTCTAGGAAGAGGTAGATAAAGAGCCAAACTGTCACTTCTTAAAAAAAAAAAAGAAGAAAGAAAGAAAGAAAAAGAAAAGAAAAAAGAAAGGAAAGAAAAGAAAAAAAGAAAGAAGAATAACGGTGGACGATGGGAGAGGGTGGATTGTGTATGCCGGCATATGCCCGCGCGCCTTGGTTCCTCATGATCCAGATTCCCAAAATATTCATGGATTCATGGTGGCAGCCAAACTTTAGGGCCTGAAAAGAAAGAGGCCCCTTCATTTCCTAACCTCAGCTTATCGCTGGTCATCTGTAAAATGCGAGCAGGTCCTCAGACCCGGGAGACTAGCGTTTTCAGAGACTGCGGGGTGCGAGCTGGCGTCGGGCAGTGG